CAGGAATGAAAGCAGGGAAAAAGCCAGGCCAAAATTTTCCATTAATTGAGTTCCAGGAGGGGAATTTGTGAGACGAAGAACAGAGGACAGACACCTTCAGAAGAAATCGGTATCTTTCCTTTTTTTCCTTCTTCAAGTCAAAGCTTTTTAAATTTGGAGATCGGTGGATTTGAGAAATTTCTTAAAAAGCTGCAGTTTTTTTTTTTTTTTAATCAGATGAAACTAAAAAGAATCATACTGATGAAATAAAGCAAAAAAGTAAACCGCAAAAAGGGAACCCTTTTCCTTTTCTGGTGTAACGAAGGATCATAACAGAAGGAGAAGTTGAAGGAACTGACCTTTGTGAGTTCATGGAAGCCATGACATGAGCTTTTGCCAGTCGTAGGGCTTCAGGTGATGGGGAAAGTGGGTGGGGAGATCGATTTTTGATGACGGAGTCATAGGGATGGGGGCGGAGGGAAAACAGGGGAAGAAGGCTTGGGAGAATAGTATATGCACCGAGAGGGAAGATGGTGGAAGAAGGGAGGACGAAAACGAGATATTATTTGTTTTGTTTAAGGTCAATTGGGGCCTTGCGAGTTCGTTTGCTTCTTGCATCAAGTCTTCCATGCGGGAAGGAAGATAATTAAATAAGAATTACGACAGAGAGAGAGAGAGAGAGAGAGAGAGAGAGAGTAAATATATAATCGACCGTCTGTCAAGTAATTAAATAAGAAATGAGCGAGGAGAAATGTGAGGATTTTGCGAAAAAGTTGAGTTCTTCGGTGAAGAATGAAGATTATATAAATTGTCTCTCATGATTTGAGTTTCTTCTTTCTTAAATTAAATTTATGTTTTGATACTTAAATATATATATATATTATACATATATATATATATATATATAAACTAATACATGAGTAATATTGTATCTGTATTCATGTCATGGAATTTGAAAGTGCCACAACAGGAACAATAACAACAGATTTTTATCCCACCAAGTGGGGTTCGCTTTATGAATTTTTTTCTCCATTTAGTCGAATTGAGTGTCATATTTTCATTTAATTTTAATAAATTAAATGAAAAAATGACACTCAATTAATATTTAAACATAACAGTTTGTGTAGTTAATTTCGAGCTGAACATCAACCCAACACAAATAAGAATATGTAAATCAAACCAAACATGAACACAATATTCTCGAGCAATTTGAAACACTAGCCAATTTGAAACACGAGTCAATTCCAATCGAGTTAAACATGAGCCAAGCACGAGTTCGTTGAAGCTCGGCTCGTTCATAACCTTACTCCTTCACATATTAAGAGTAGGCCTCATATTGTATAGGGTTAGTTCAGTGTCTCTTTATTTCCATATCATAGACACATACACACAGACACACACACACCCCCCTTATGAAGGCAAGGAGGGAGCCATCTGAAGCCGTATAAATAGATACATTCTCCCAACTTCAGTGAGGACTCTTTGACTTTCTATTTCATCCTCTCCTTTCACCTCTTATTGAAGCTATGAGTTTTGTTTTGAAGAGCAAACATTCATTTCCTTTTTTTGTAGCATTCTTCCTACACATGTTTCCCCCAGGTTGTATCAGCCCTAATCATACAAAACTATGAGTTTGGTATTGAAGCTATGTCGTTTATGAATGTAGTATATAGGCAAAACACATCTTTTAGAGGATAATTGCAGAAATCTGATCTAGCGCCCCATTGCTCATTATATAGCGCCCCAACACGATATCGATAGCGCTGCAGAGGCAGAGAAACAACACCTACATACTCAAAGGGTATAGAGCAAAAATTTTTAGAGTAGCACACCACAGAGCTTGAATCAAGCCCTAGCGCCATCGGAAAACAACACCACAGTGTGATAATTTCAAATTCAGATCTAAAAAACGTGAAAGGCAGAGCTAATGAGCAGCTCCCCGCTGCCTTAGTTGAGTGACATAATGCTACCATTCAACACCTTGATGCTCATCACCGTCATATATATTTTTTTGGGCAGTTAGCAATGTTAGGCCAAATTTTGTATAAAAAGGAGCCTTGATTTTGTATAAAAAGGAGCCTTGGGGGAACAAAAGAGGGGAACAATTATATATTATCATTTTATATGTTAGGGTTTCATTTCTTTGTTGTAAGTGTGAGCGTTAAGTGTGAAGTAAAAAAAAGGAGAACATCAAGTTCGGAGAAACATCCAATTGGGAGCAAGGATTTAGTTTTTTTGACTTTTTTATCTCCTTCTCTATGTAAACTTTCTTTTAATTAAAATGAATTTTATATTTTCTTTTTTACTCATGAGGAGTACTTAAATAGTTTTTTTTCTTTGGATTGATTTTTAAAGTTCCAAGTGAATCTATGTTAGATTCTTGACCACGTGAAATGAATAAGTTGATGTTTTAACATTCAATTTATGTTTACAACTCAAATTGGTCATTTAAATTATTAAAATATGTTGTAGTATAGAATTATAAAAAGAAGACTAGAAGCATAACCAGGTTAGAGAGCAAACATTTAGTGGAATAGAAATATTGTCATTAAATATTTAAACTATTTTAGAGAAATGTGGATTCCTTGGAATTTTTATAGGTTTAAGGAAACTTAATCATAATGTAAAAATCCAATATTTCATATATTTTGGAGGAGAATAAAAAGTATTTGTACAAATTGTCAACTGCAATAGAAGAGTCTTTTGGAGGAACTTAGGCTTTGATCAAATCAATTTAGATAAGATTTTAAATCATTAGAAGCTCAGTTACTTTCCTTTTAGATATTCAATTTTAAGTTGGTATTTTTAAACATATTTCATAATAAAAAAATCATAAGTCTTTGAATTAAATTTAAAATTAGTAGACCAATAGTTAGACTAATTTGAGAAATAACTATGAGGGCAATTGTGGGCATGATATAAGTTTTTTTTTCATATCTTTTTTGGTTTTGATGATAATGATGAGATATATAACCACAAGGGTTCTTTTGGGTAGCCTTTATGGTATTATAGTTTCTGAGATATATGAGTTGTTTAGTATCAAGGCAACCAAGAACCTCTTTGTTTTCAAGCATAGGACCTTAGGATTCTTTTTAAGGGCCTTTGTGTCGATGTGGTTCTGTGACATAAATGAGTTCAATATTGTGTGGTTAAAGGCAACCAACATCCCCCCTTTCAGGTCTTCAAACTTCATATAATTACAAATTATTTTTTAAATTATAATTTCTCTGAGAATTTATTTTCTTATAAGGCTTCATCGTTGTATTCTTTTTATTCTTTTTAATTAAATTTTCTTTTAATTTTGTCATTCTACTATTAATAGAAGCTCATTTTATGTATTATATTTTGACATATCAGTGAATATGAGCTCAAGGACTTCTACTGGATTTAGAGTCTCATATTGCAACTATGGATTGCAATGTTGTGTATTTACATCCTTAAGAGACATCCTTAAGAGAGTGTAGCTATGGGAAAAAAATTATAGATATCCAAGAAATAGATCAGAAGAAAATTGCAACTTCCTTGGATATGCTGATTAGTTCGAGGAGTCTAATTCAAATAGTGACCATGCATGGAGAGTATCTTCGGAGAAAATATTTTCCCATATATTTGATCATTTGGATTTTAGAAGTGATATATTATGATGATATTATTTATTTCTTTATGTATTTTTTTTCTTGTTTTAATTGTTGTTCTACTCTTTATTAAGTGAGATATAACTTTTTTTATGTAATATTTGAGTTATAAATTTTTGGGATTTTCTAAAATTCTTTTCTAATTTTATGTATAAGTTATGAATTTTGAAGTGGTTATCTTATAAAAAGCACATGTATAAAGGACTGACCGCGACTTTATATATGCTTAAAAATATAAGATAAATATGGACCTAATAAATATTCAATAATTGTAAAGTCACACTTATCAACACAAGTATACGCATCGCTCAAGTAATATAGGGCTCTATTGGAGTCCTAGATATCGATCCCATAGGGAGTAATATTAGAAGTACGAACTAAGACCTTAGAAAAATAATAATTTAATCACAACAACGAAGTTCAATTTGCTTATCTGTCACTAATAGACAATTGAAATAAATATGTAATTTTAATAACTGTTAAATAACTAAATATCCTAATGAATATCCTAATGAAAGATTCAATATATAAGAAAACATCCTTCTCCTTGTCAAGAAATTATAGTGAATGGATAAAGTGAATTAGTTCAAATTATATTGTGCCAAATAGAAACATACCTATTATTTACCCATTGGTCCAGGCATAAAGAACATTGACTAATCCTACGCTTGTTTACTGAATCTGCAGTTAGGTTGGGAGGATACCGGCTCTCACTTCGGAGCTCCCACGTTCCCCTCGCCTGAGGGCTAACATCTACACTTCAGCACCCAAACGATAGAACTGAATTGGGGATTTTAAGGGATTTTAGTCTCTCACTCTAAAATCTCCAATTCTATGCCCGATAAAATTATTTCCCTATTTATTTGCACCCAACTTTCAAGTTTGCACTTCCCTATTTATTTGCACCCAACTTTCAAGGGCTTTGACCTCCCTGAATCTATGATGTAATATTCAGTTTAGTTGAAAAACTCAACATATTTTAACAAATCAATTGACCAGATTGAAAGTAAATTAAGATCGAAGTGAAAAGATCATCACAATTTCTTAAACATTTTATTTGAAAATATAATCACAATTTCTCAAACATTTTCATGGCTTCACCATTTCAAATCACCATTTCACGAATTCAAGACAAGGAGAAAGACAAAAAAAACTACTCAGATCTCATGGGAAAAACACAACAAAACTCGGAATTCATATATAAAATCAAAGCCATACAAACTACAATAGTAAATAAACTTATCTCTAATTTCTCCACAGGAAAACTCCTCGAAGTTCTTCTGAATCTCTTCCTTTATTTACAACACACAGAATTTCTCTTCGAAGCAGCAAAAAGGAAGAAATCTATCGCTTTTCCTCCACCCTTATAATCTCTCGAAGAATTCCTCACAATTTTTACATTCTAGCAAACACTAATGGAACCTTTCTAACCTCCATGAACTCTATTCTCCTCTGGCTCCCTCTCAATTTTTGACGAAAATCTTCTTTTAAAGTTGTGGATGAGTTTTCCCAAGAGTTGCCTAAGCATCCTTTCAAAATTTGGGCTTATCCAAAGCTTGATTGGGCATAACCGCCGAGCTCGCCGTCGGCGGCCTCGAGGGCGTCGTCGGCATACCTTCTTAATGAATTAATTCTAGAGTCTCGAGAAAATCTCGTCGTCGGTGGGGTCGATGGCGCCGTCGGCGTGCTAGTTCAATTCTTCATATTTTGGCCCTTTTCGCTCTCTCTTCGAAGCAGCAAAAAGGAAGAAATCTATCGCTTTTCCTCCACCCTTATAATCTCTCGAAGAATTCCTCACAATTTTTACATTCTAGCAAACACTAATGGAACCTTTCTAACCTCCATGAACTCTATTCTCCTCTGGCTCCCTCTCAATTTTTGACGAAAATCTTCTTTTAAAGTTGTGGATGAGTTTTCCCAAGAGTTGCCTAAGCATCCTTTCAAAATTTGGGCTTATCCAAAGCGCTTATCCAAAGCTTGATTGGGCAATTGGACATAACCGTCGAGCTCGCCGTCGGCGGCCTCCAGAGCACCGTCAGTATACCTTCTTAATGAATTAATTCTAGAGTCTCGGGAAAATCTCGTCGTCGGTGGGGTCGATGGCGCCG